ATGAAGAAAATTAAAGATTATCATTATCAGAAAAGAGGATGTTCTTAAGAAGATAAATATATTAAAGAAGAGAAAATCCCCAGGGCCGGATGAAATTTTCCCTCGAGTTTTGAAAGAGTGTAAGGAACAGATTAGCGGACCTCTCGTAAATTTATTTACAAAATCATTAGACACGGGCGTTGTGCGAGACTTGTGGAAACAGGCAATGTAGTACCCATATTCAAAAAGGGTGACACAACATCAGCGTCAAATTACCGATTAATTTGACGGCAGTAGTGGGGAAATTTCTTGAATCAATTATTGCAAATAACATCCGATCGCATTTCGAGAAAAACAAATTAATCTACGATTCTCAACAAGGGTTTACAAAGGGAAAATCATGTATAAAAATCAGCTGACGTTTTTTTTTAGGAAAGTCTAAGAGGTAGTAGATAATGACGAAAATTATGATGTTATTTACTTAGAATTTAGCAAAGCGTTTGACAGAGTACCGCATCAGAGGCTTCTGAGAAAAGTTAAGGCTCATGGTATCGAGGGGAAACTTTTAAATTGGATAAAATCATGGCTTACCGATAGAGCACAGAGGGTCAGCGTAGATGGTGTTAAATCTGAGTGGGTCTGTGTAATCAGTGGGGTTCCCCAGGGGTCAGTACTGGGCCCACTCTTGTTCATAATCTACATAAACGATCTAGATACTGGGATCAGCAGTGACATAAGTAAGTTTGCGGATGACACCAAAATAGGGCGGCAGATTAATTCAGGGAAGGATGCAAATGCACTACAGGAGGATTTAAATAAACTGCAGGAGTGGTCAGTAAAATGGCAAATGAAATTCAACACCAGCAAGTGCAGCGTACTTAATATTGGAAGAACAAATACTGTCAATATATACAGCCTTAACAACATCAACCTAGAGAAGTCGACTTGTGAAAGAGACTTAGGGGGGTACTTGTAAGCCCGGACCTACGGCCTAGAAAACAGTGCGTTAATGTTCGAAATAAGGCAAACAGAGTATTAGGTTTTATATCTAGACGTGTAAGTAATAAGAGTGCAGAGGTCTTATTGCAACTATATCTTGCGCTAGTCAGGCCGCACCTCCATTATGCGGTTCAGTTCTAGTGCCCTTATTATAGAATGGATATCAATTCACTGAAGTCGGTGCAGCGAAGAATGACGAAAATGATTCCGGGACTTAGAAACCTTCCATATCAAGATAGGTTGAATAAACTAAACTTGCATTCCCTAGAAAGACGAAGAGTGCGGGGAGATATGATAGAAGTATTTAAGTGGGTGAAAGGAATCAATAAAGGAGATATAAAGTTCTTATAGTATCCGAGCAAGATAGGACTTGTAGCAACGGATTTAAGTTTGATAAGCTTAGGTTTAGGAGGGAGATAGGAAGGAACTGGTTCACAAATAGGGTGGTGGACGAGTGGAATAAGCTTAGCAAATTTGTAGTAAGTGCTGGAACGCTGGAAAGTTTTGAAAGGAGGCTGGATAGATTCATGGATGATGGAAAGTGGTAGTAGCTCTCGACAGGAGCTGCTCACCTCGTCCTGGGTGTGTAGGAGAGTCGGGACCAGTGTTTAGCTTGTCTTCAGGTTCCCACGCGTTCACTCTCTGGGTCCAAATGGTCTCTATAGGGTTGAGGTCTGGGTAGCACTCACAAACAGTCATAGTAACACAAGCAATGGCCCTATACAATATTATATTTGTGATATTAAATGTTTCAATAAAAATACAACATTATTATTCTATTGGGTAAAGGAAAAGTTGTATTGTTTAACTGAAAGAAACTTATTGAATATGGACCTGGAGATTTAGATGGCCAGTCCAAAAGGTCAATTTCATTCGACCGTTCCTCTGACCAGCACTTCATCTCTCGTGCCGTGTGAACGGGGCTGTTATCAAAGAAGTGAACAATATTCATCAAACATAATTTGTTAACACTTATATCATGAATTGGCGCCTTCATATAGGTGAAAATGCGCGACTTAGAAAAATATAATCGGCGAGTGTGGAGGCACGGATGGTGGGCAGCCTCCAGCAGCTCGAGGCAAACGTCAGAGATGATGATGGGTAATGTAAACTGTTGTACACTGAAGAGGAAAAATAAGAGATAACTGTATTATATACTGATGGAAAAAAGAACAAAATATTGGTATTGAGGGAAAGGTGTTTGTTGATCAAGTAACCCAAATTAATGAGCACATTTCACTATTAATAGTATGGATAGATCTACGTAGTATTAGTTAAGGGCTGCAAATTGGTGCCATCTTTTACTGTAATAATACAAGACTAATACCATATGTTGGAGTTTGATAAACTTTATATAGGAGCAACTTTTCAAGACTATTACAAATTCTAAATTGCAATTTAAAATATGTATGCCCTTTTTGACCCGATCTAATGTTGACACTGGTGTATATACTATTCAACACAGTATGGTGGCTCACTGGCAAGGTACCTGTTGTGGATGATGGAGGCCTCGGGTTCGACTGCCAGATGGATTGAAGTCGTGTTGAACTGGACGAGGCAGAGACAGGATTTTGAATGGTTCGTAAGTAAAATTTATGTTTTACCAGTGATGTTGGGGCTGGCGAATGGAATTACTCTACTATAGAGAAAAAAGCTGTGGCTCTGTTTATGGCACTGGAAAAGTTTAACATATATCTTGACAACACCTACCAGAGAATTGTAGTTTACAGTGACCATAATTTATTACAGTTCAGAAGTCGAATGAAAAACAAGAATCAGAGACTTAATAGATGATGATTAACTCTGCAGGGAAGGACTTGGTATGTTGTGTAGGAGTGAGGGAAGGACTTGGTATGTTGTTTAGGAGTGAGGGAAGGACTTGGTATGTTGTGTAGGAGTGAGGGAAGGACTTATAGTATTGTGTAGGAGTGAGGGAAGGACTTGTCGTTTTGTGTAGGAATAAGGGAAGGACTTTTTGTATTGTGTAGGAGTGAGGGAAGGACTTGGTATGTTGTGTAGGAGTGAGGGAATGTCTTGGTATGTTGTGTAGGAGTGAGGGAATGTCTTGGTATGTTGTGTAGGAGTGAGGGAAGGACTTTTTGTATTGTGTAGGAGTGAGGGAAGGACTTGGTATGTTGTGTAGGAGTGAGGGATGGACTTGGTATGATGTGTACGAGTGAGGGAATGTCTTGGTATGTTGTGTAGGAGTGAGGGAATGTCTTGGTATGTTGTGTAGGAGTGAGGGATGGACTTTTTGTATTGTGTAGGAGTGAGGGAAGGACTTGGTATATTGTGTAGGAGTGAGGGAATGTCTTGGTATGTTGTGTAGGAGTGAGGGAATGTCTTGGTATGTTGTGTAGGAGTGAGGGAATGTCTTGGTATGTTGTGTAGGAGTGAGGGATGGACTTTTTGTATTGTGTAGGAGTGAGGGAAGGACTTGGTATGTTGTGTAGGAGTGAGGGATGGACTTGGTATGATGTGTACGAGTGAGGGAATGTCTTGGTATGTTGTGTAGGAGTGAGGGAAGGACTTGTCGTTTTGTGTAGGAATAAGGGAAGGACTTATAGTATTGTGTAGGAGTGAGGGAAGGACTTTTTGTATTGTGTAGGAGTAAGGTAAGGACTTGGTATGTTGTGTAAGAGTGAGGGATGAACTTGTAGTGTTGTGTAGGAGTGAGAGAATTTCGTAGCAAATGCTCTATCTCATTCACCAGATTGAAAATAAAACACAAATGTTTTATCTTTGGGGAGGGAGTTTTATAAGGCACTGAATATATTTGATTGAGAGGTAATTACACTGCTTCTTCAGTAGGTAAGACTATATTTTATATATGTTCCTGTATGTAAACATTGTTTAGTATGTTATATATATATATATTAATTTATAATAAGTATGTAATAAGTAAATCAGCTTAACGTTGTGCATTTGTTAGGTAAAATAGTATGGTAATTGGCGGCATGGTATCCACATTGTGTGGGTCACAGCAAGTGCAGGGAGGTAGACGAGCCTGGCTGATGTTAGTGTGTGTGGTGCAAGTGTGGTACAATTGGTCTGGACTCAGGATATATTTATATGGAGATAAGTGGTGTATACTTTTGTACTTTTCTAGTGTATGGTGAGGCTGAGGTTCGGGTTTGGGTTAATTTAGGCTGTGGTCATCTGTACTGTACTTAAATTGTTCCTTTACTTGACCTTTGTTTGTGGTCTCTTTACTTTATAATGATAAGCTATGCATTTCATGATTCATCTTCAACATGATAAATATATTTTGAGTTAATGTGAGGGTTATTATTGAGAATCTGGTGGTGGAGATAATATAAGAGTCATTATAGTGTTTACCCTGCTTGTTGTTGTGACCACTCGTGTGATTTGTGACTTGACTAGTGATAAATTCTTGATAAAGAGGAGTGCTGGCATAACACTATGAAGAAAGAGTCATTTTAATTCTTGTCGCCCTGCAATATATACAAAAAAAAGTATTTATGGAAAATAAAATTTTAGTTTCACAGGTACACCTTTTTTCAATTGCAATTGAACAATGTTACTTTTGGTTTCAACATCTTCGAATGGAATCAACATTCTTACACTTGATTAATAACAATCTTTACTTTCCGTTCAACAATCATCCAAAACTTTTCAACAGTCGTTCAACACGTGACAATGTTTACTTGCTTTCAACAATCGTCTCATTCTTCATTGACAATTCACTAATAATTTCAACATTTTACAAAACTAAGTAACAATCTTTAAAACATCATAACTATGCAAAAAGTTTATGTTTTGGTGTTTTTCGTAGATCGAAAGACTAGTTGATCCAATTCGAACTTTTGAAGCAAGTAACGAATCACCGAGTCGAGATGGTGTGCTACACACTCAGTATTTTCATTACGAGTGCGCAGCTTCTCCCGTATACAGTTCGTCGCCGAGCCCCTCCAGCATGCCACGGAGGCACCGAATAACAAGTGCTACAGATCGCGAGCGCATTATCGAGGCCTACAGAGCCGAACAAGATTTCCTCGTAGTTGCAGCAGCCCTTGGAGTTCAGCGCACCTCGGCATACTCCATTGTGCGAGTATACCAACACGAAAACAGGGTTGAAGCGGCTCACGCAGGAGGCAGACACAAGATCATCGACAATGAAACTCTGGATCTAATAGTGATGCTGCTTGAAGCAAACCCTATGATGACCTTGAGAGAGATAAAGGAGGAGGTCATGGATATATTTCCTACAAAACCACATTTCAGTGAGGTAACGCTTTCGCGTTATTTGGAGGGGGAGCTGATATCACTGAAAATGTCCCGTGACTCCCCAGCAGAAAGAAATTCTCCCGCAGTAAAGGAGGCGAGACACGCGTACGCTACGTGGATGCTGGCGACGGGTCTACAGCAGCAACTAGTATACATTGATGAGACAGGTATGTAATTATGTAACCACTTATCAACTATCTGTAGTATGTACTACATAATTACTTAAGTAAACTGTATGTAACGAGTGAGTACTTAATATTGATCTCAGTTTGATGCATCGTACAACTTTCCTTGTGTTAATGTTTAATTACATTACAGTATGACTACATACACTGATGTTTTATTTCCAGGGTTCAATCTGTGGACCAAGAGGACGTACGGCAGGGCAAGATGCGGGGAGCGTGTGCATCGCGCCGTTGGTGGACAGCGTGGCAGAAACACGACAGTGATTGCTGCGATAGCTGAACACTGTGGAATACTCTATCACGAAATTCACTATGGTTCAGTGACGAAGGAAGTATTCAGTGATTTCATCGCATCACTTGCAGCAATAATCGGAGACGCAAGATCCATACTTGTTCTAGACAACGCTCCAATTCACAACGGTATTGCAGCAGTCTATCCCGAGCTGAATTTTAAATTTCTCCCTCCATACTCTCCTTGCTTGAACCCCATAGAAAACTGTTTCTCTGTGTTTAAATCATACCTGAAGCAGTACCTCCACCGTGAAGCTCCACGGTGCAACGCGGCCCACGCCAGGCAAGGAGGAGTGACTCAATGCACTGAGGGAGAACATTTTGCAAGTTGGCTTGGAATTTGCACTGCCTAGTGTCACGGAACATGTTGTGTCGCAGAACTATAACCATGTCAACACCTACTTGGTTCAATGTATTGAGCGCCGAGACATCTTCAATTGATATACAGTAGGTCTACAGTAATAGAGTATAACCTACTGCCTTACCGTTTGTTCCACTTGAAACAATTCACAACAAAAACCTTCTATACACTCATGGGTTCTTTTTTACCTGACAGGTTACTATTCGTGAGGCAGAGGAGGAAGGCAAGTCAACGGGATGCTGATATGACACTCCTCTCCCCAATCCCACTACCCCTCCCACCCTCACCTACCTCCATCCCTACCTTACAGCCAGGCAGAAACAACCCACCAAGGTGTACGAGGCCTTTACTTGAATTGCTTCGTGGAAGTATCATGACACCAATGTATTTAGCTATTAGTATAAGGCCCTTTTTTCTTTGTTTCTTTTTAAGCAATCGTATGTTTTATGTAGCTACTACATACTAAAGACTAAAGGCATTACATAATTACATATGTTTATACCAGAATTCATTGTATTGTTGATGTTTGTGTAAGTATACTCAAAAATTAAATATTCATGGCTGTTACTGATTTTAAAGATTGTTGAATAAATTATTTTCAATGATGATTGTTTCAGTCGCATTGTTGAAAAGTTTGGTTGACTGTTGAAAGCAATCGGAGATATGTGGCTGTTGAAAGGTTTTGTAAATTGTCAAATCAAAATAACTGATTGTTGAATGGATTCGGAAAATAGTTGAAAGCAAATAGAAATTTGTCATTCCAAAATCTTGATTGTTAAAGGCAAGTGGTCAATTGTTCAATTGCAAATGAAAGAAGGTGTATTAACAGAAACTACTACTCCAGGGAGGATGAGGACCATAACTTGGTGTACAGATAACGAGGCAATATCAAGATGGATAAGAGGAACGATCAAGAGTATATGTAAGTGTTGGTTAAATACGTCCACATAAATACTAAAACAGATTATAACTGTGTTGAAATCTTATCTACTGACTACTGTAGAGATTCTGTATCATTGTAGGAGTGAGGAAAGGACTTGCAGTGTTGTGTAGGAGTGAGGGAAGGACTTGCAGTGTTGTGCAAGAGTGAGGGAAGAACTTGCAGTGTTGTGTAGAAATGAGGGAAGGGCTTTTAATATTGTGTAGGAGTGAGGGAAGGACTTGCAGTGTAGTGTAGGAGTGAGACAAGGACATGCAGGATTGCGTAGGAGTGAGGGAAGGACTTAAAGGGTTTTGTAAGAGTGAGGGAAGTATTTGTAGTAATGAGTAGGACTGAGGAAGGGACTTGCAGGGTTGTGTTGAAGTGAAGGAAGGACTTGCAGGGTTGAGTAGAAGTTAAGGAAGGAGATGCAGGGTTGTGTAGGAGTGAGGGAAGTACTTGCAGGATTGTGTAGGAATAAGGGAAGGACTTGCAGGGTTGTGTAAGAGTGAGGGAAGTACTTGTAGTAATGTGTAGGACTGAGGGAAGGACTTCCAGGGTTGTGTAGGAGTGAAGGAAGGACTTGCATCGTTGTGTAGGAGTTAATGAAGGACATGCAGGGTTGTGTAGGTGTTAAGGAAGGACTTGCAGGGTTGTGTAGGTGTTAAGGAAGGGCTTGCAGGGTTGTGTAGGGGTGAAAGAATGACTTGTATTATTGTGTAGGAGTGAGGGAAGGACTTGCAGTGTTATGTAGAAATGAGGGAAGGACTTCTAGTATAGTGTAGGAGTGAAGGACGTACTTGCAGTGTTGTGTAGAAATGAGGGAGGGACTTGTAGTATTGTGTAGGAGTGAGGGAAGGACTTGTAGTATTGTGTAGGAGTGAGGGAAGGACTTGCAATGTTGTGTAGGAGTGAAAGAAGGATTTGCAGGGTTGGTTAGGAGTTAAGGAAGGACATGCAGGGTTGTGTAGGAGTTAAGGAAGGACATGCAGGGTTGCATAGGAGTGAGGGAAGGACTTTCAGTGTTGTGTAGGAGTGAAAGAAGGACTTGCAGGATTGTGTAGAAGCGAGGGAAGGACTTGCAGTGTTGTGTAAGAGTGAGGGAAGTACTTGTAGTAATGTGTAGGACTGAAGAAAGGAAATGCGGTGATGTGGAGGAGTGAGGAAAGGTTATGTGATGTTCTGTAGGAGTGAGGGAAGGACATGAAGTGATGTGTAGGAGTGAGGGAAGGACTTGCAGGGTTGTGCAGGAGTGAGGGAAAGACTTGCAGTGTTGTGTAAAAATGAGGGAAGGACTTCTAGTATTGTGTAGGATTGAGGGATGGACTTAGTGTTGTGTAGAAGTGAGGGCAGGACCTCTAGTATTGTGTAGGTGTGAGGGAAGGACTTGCAGTGTTGTGTAGGAGTGAGGGAAGGATTTGCAGGGTTGTGCAGGAGTGAGGGAAAGACTTGCAGTGTTGTGTAAAAATGAGGGAAGGACCTCTAGTATTGTGTAGGTGTGAGGGAAGGACCTCTAGTATTGTGTAGGTGTGAGGGAAGGACTTGCAGTGTTGTGTAGGAGTGAGGGAAGGACTTGCAGGGTTGTGCAGGAGTGAGGGAAGGACTTGTAGTGTTGTGTATAAGTGAGGGAAGGACTTCTAGTATTGTGTAGAAGTGAGGGAAAGACTTGCAGTGTTGTGTAGAAATGAGATAAGGACTTGCAATGTTGTGTAGGAGTGAAAGGAGGTTTTGTAGTATTCTGTAGGAGTGAGAGAAGTGCTTCTAGTATTGTGTAGGAGTGAGGAAAGGACTTGCAGTGTTTCTATTTTTTATTTTTTTTTATTGGGCACCCCCCTACATCCTTGTGTAAGGTGAAGCGCAGAAGCGTTTACAGCGCCCAACAGGGAAGCATGCTAAGTTCATGCTTGCCTTTATGTCTCATGAGTTAAGGGCGTAGAAGCCTGAAGAGTCAGTGGTTTATGTCATCAAGTTATTGGAAGCTCCAATAACTCCCTGAATATGAATTCGCAACTTTCGACTTACAACAGGTACCTACATTACTGCTAGGTGAACAGGGACTAATGGGGGCTAGGAAGTAAGTCCAAACAACTTCCACCGGCCCAGGAATCGAACCCGTGACATCTCGCTTGCGAGGCAAGAACGGTACCGCTTCTACTACCGGTCCCCCGACTTGCAGTGTTGTGTAGGAGTGAAAGAAGGACTTGCAGGGTTGTGTAGGAGTGAGGGAAGGACTTGCAGGGTTGTGTAAGCATGAGGGAAGGACTTGCAGGGTTATGTAGGAGTGAGGGAATGACTTCCAGGGTTGTGGAGGAGTGAGGGAAGGACTTGTAGTAATGTGTAGGACTGAGGGAAGGACTTGCAGGGTTGTATAGGAGTGAAGGAAGGACTTGAAGTGTTGTGTAGGAGTTAAGGAAGGACGTGCAGGGTTGTGTAGGAGTGAAGGAAGAACTTGCAGGGTTGTGTAGGAGTGAGGGAAGGACTTGCAGAATTGTGTAGGAGTGAAGGAAAGACTAGCAGGTTTGTGTAGGAGTGAGGGAAGGACTTGCAGTGTTATATAGGAGTGAAAGAAGGACTTGTAGTATTGTGTAGGAGTGAGGGAAGGACTTGCAGTATTGTGTAGAAGTGAGGGAAGGACTTATAGTATTGTGTAGGAGTGAAGTAAGTTCTTGCAGTGTTGTGTAGAAATGAGTGAAGGACTTCTAGTATTGTGTAGGAGTGAGGGAAGGACTTGCAGTGTATAGGAGTGAGGAAAGGACATGCAATGTTGTGTAGGAGTGAAAGAAGACTTGCAGGGTTGGTTAGGAGTTAAGGTAGGACATGCAGTGTTGTGCAGGATTATAGGAAGGACATGCAGGGTTGCGTAGGAGTGAGGGAAGGACTTGCAGGGTTATGTAGGAGTGAGTGAGGGAAGGTCTTGCAGGGTTGTGGAGGAGTGAGGGAAGGTCTTGCAGGGTTGTGTAGGAGTGAGGGAAGGACTTGCAGTGTTGTTTAGATATGAGGGAAGGACTTCTAGTATTGTGTAGGATTGAGGGAAAAACGTGCAGTGTTGTGTAGAAATGAGGGAAGGACTTCTAGTATTGTGTAGGAGTGAAGGAAAGACTTGCAGTGTTGTGTAGAAATGAGGGAAGGACTTGCAATGTTGTGTAGGAGTGAAAGGAGGTTTAGTAGTATTGTGTAGGAGTGAGGGAAGTACTTCTAGTATTGCGTAGGAGTGAGGGAAGGACTTGCAGTGTTGTGTAGAAATGAGGGAAGTACTTGCAATGTTGTGTAGGAGCGAAAGGAGGTTTTGTAGTATTGTGTATGAGTGAGGGAAGAACTTGTAGAATTGTGTAGGAGTTAGGGAAGGACTTGTAGTATCTTGTAGGAGTGAGGGAAGTACTTGTAGTATTGTGTAGGAGTGAGGGATGGACTTGGTATGTTGCGTGGGAGTGAGAGATGAACTTGGTATGTTGTGTAGGAGTGAGAGAATGACTTGTAGTGTTGTGTAGGAGTGAGGGAAGTACTTGTAGTATTGTGTAGGAGTGAGGGATGGACTTGGTATGTTTTGTAGGAGTGAGAGAATTTCGTAGCATATGCTCTATCTCATTCACCAGACTGAAAATAAAACACAAGTGTTTTATCTTTGGTGAGGGAGTTTTATAAGGCACTGAATATATTTGATTGAGAGGTAATTACACTGCTTCTTCAGTAGGTAGGACTATATTTTATATATGTTCCTGTATGTAAACATTGTGTAGTATGTTATATATATATATATATATATATATATATATATATATATATATATATATATATATATATATATATATATATATATATATATATATATTATTTATAATAAGTATGTAATAAGTAAATCAGCTTAACGTTGTGCATTTGTTAGGTAAAATAGTATGGTAATTGGCGGCATTGTATCCACATTGTATGGGTCACGGCAAGTGCAGGGAGGTAGACGAGCCTTGCTGGTGATAGTGTGTGGTGCAAGTGTGGTACAATTGGTGTGGACTCAGGATATATTTATATGGAGATAAGTGGTGTATACTTTTGTATTTTTCTAGTGTATGGTGAGGGTGAGGTTCGGGTTTGGGTTAATTTAGGCTGTGGTCATCTGTACTGTACTTAATTGTTCCTTTACTTGACCTTTGTTTGTGGTCTCTTAACTTTATAATGCTAAGTTATGCATTTCATGATTCATCTTCAACATGATACCTATATTTTGAGTTAATCTGAGGGTTACTATTGAGAATCTGGTGGACATAATATGATAGTCATTATAGTGTTTACCC